GGGGGGGGGGGCAGAGAGGATCCCCCCCCACCATCACCCCTGGGACAGGGGACAGCGCGGGGACTGTGTGCGGCTCTCGCTGTGGGCATGCAGTAACCAGGTGGTGAGTGGCGGTGCGGGGGGGCATGACCATGCCAGGTAACCCTTTCTAGTCCAGGAGGGGCTCCTCCCCCCTCCCCCCCAGGCTCAGGAGTGTTTTGCCAGTGCAGGGGCGTCAGGTCCCAACCCCTGCAGGGGGGCCAGCAGGCGCCCAAGTCCCTCCTCCGGCGCTGGGCTGGAACGGGTTAACCCCAGCCGGCGCCCTCAGAACTCCACCTTGCAGGCGGGGAAGGTCTCATCCTGCATGGCCACGGTGCTGTTGCTGCCCAGCACTGTGATGCCCAGCTCCTGCTGGCGCTCGTGGGTCTCCTGGTACCACTCGTGCATCACCAGCGAGTCGAAGGTGGGGATCAGGGTCACCTGGAGGGAGAGAGCAAGCGGGCACCGAAGTCATGACCCCACTGGGGTAGCGCAGACCAGGGGATGGAGCACCAGGGCCCACGTCGGGGCGCCTGGCTTCTGTGCCCAGCTGCCCATCGGGCCTGTGGGGCTGCAGGCTCAGTCTTGCACCAAGCACTGGGTGGGATGTGGACACCTGGCACTGCTCTCCGTGGGTGTCTGCACCAGGACGGTCTCTGTGCCCCACTCCAGGGGACGGGCAGAGGCCGCAACCAGCTCCCTCCAGCTTCCACTGGGCAAAGCCTCCAGGCCCTGCTGCCCCACAGGATATGGACCCTTCCCCTCCCCCAAACACCTTGCTGGGGGGCCTCACCTGGACGTCGCTGCCCCACTGCTGCTTGCCCGCCAGAAGGGCATCCAGGATGGGGCGCATGACGCCCTCCTTGACGTGGTCGTCGCCGCTGATGACATAGCAGAGGGAGCGCACGCGCCGGAAGAACTCCTCGTCCACGGTCCGTGCGCTCCATGAGCCGGGCACGTATGCCAGGTCCACGTAGACCGGGGGGCCAGGGGGCGAGGCCGGCTTGGAGCCTGGAAGCGGAGACACAAAGCCCTTGCAGCACCAGCCACCCCACACGGGCTTCGGGCCCATGGACTCAGCCCCCCACTGCAGCAGGCGCAGCCCCAAAATGAGATACAGTCTGGTGGCTACGTGCCCTTGGATGCATGGAGGTCACTGGACCTCAGGCCCGGCTCTCCCTGCTCCTTGGTCCCTGGGGCATGTTCCAGCAGCCGGGGCTCTTCCCTGCTCCATGCATCCTGTCCCCCCCACCCCAAATTTTCAGCCCATTCTGAGATGGGACGTCTTGTCCCCCCCCAGTGGCATTTACCCAACCCAGACGGGAGGAAGCTCCTGGACCCTGCAGCCAGCTTGTTCCCAGGGTGCCCCAGTCCTTCCCTCCCACAGCGCACACAGAGCATCTCCAAGCCACAATGCCCACGGAGGCGCGTGGGTCAGGCCCAGCTGCCCGAGTGGGTCCCACTCACCCCTACGCAGCCCATGCCAAGGGGCTGGCGCCTGAGGAAAGCAGAGGCCCCTACCCTGAGATCCACCCCAAGCTACCGGGCCACGAGAAGAGGCCTCACCTGCAGGGGACGACCGGCCGGCGCCTGAGAGAGGCCGGACTCCAGCGCCCCGGGTCGAGGACAAGGGGGCTCGGACGTCCCCGCTGGCGTGCAGCCCCTTCTCCAGGGTGTTGGCCCTGCCGAGGGTGGGCGGCCGGGCCTTGTCGCCTATGTCACGCGTGGAGCCCCCGGGGGCCTTGGCCTTGAGGGTGGAGTGCTTGGGGGGGGCGGCCCGCAGGGGCGTGGGGGCCGAGCCCGGGCGGGACGGAGTCCTCTTCAGCTTGCCGTCTGGCTCCTTCTTCCCCGAGCGGGCATGGTCCACGGGCAGGGCCTCAGGGTCCACCATGCAGATCCCGGGCTGGGCGGGGAGGGGGCAGGGGTCCTTCATGGGGGCCGGGAGCGGGTCCCGGGCCCTAGCGGGGTGCACAGCTTCCTCATCCGATTCCAGGCCGCCATCGGCCAGGACGCAGGCGCAGTCCTCGGTGGCCGGGGGCACGTCCGAGTCGGAGAAAGTGGGCAGCGACTCACTCAGCGAGGTGGGGGGCGTCTCGTCGCCCCCCGGCCTGCAGGCCGGGCCACAGCGCTGGGCCAACGGCTTGGCCAGCTCCTGGGAGAGGTCGCTGTCGGACAAGTCCCGGGGGCTGAGGTTGAGGGAGGCCGAGCGCTCCGACTTGGGGTGCTCGAACTCGCAGGGCGACACCAGGCACAAGTCCACGTCGTGGGGCGAGTCTGAGCGGCGCCCGTGCCCATTGCCCTCGGCCCGCGGGGCACGATGGCAGGGCCGCAGCGGCAGCGACAACCCGCCCTTGCCCGGTGCCGGCTCGGGC